AACAGCTTGATCCTACCACTTCAAAATCAATTGTATGGCCTCTATTAATGGATCAAAACAGTGCGGACGTGAAAGACTCTTCTAGCAATCGATCTCATTACACTTCTTGGCAAAATTCAAAACAATCTGCGACTACAAATATCAATGGGGCATTTAATAAAAACCTCAAAAGCGACGAACGGAATACAGAGATGAAAAATTTATCTAAAAAATTTCTTTGGAAAGCACTTCATCAACGACATAAGGACTACGAAATATCCGACATAAAGAGAGATACGTCCTTACGAAATTCATCTATCGATTATGAGAAAAACAAACTTGAGGAAGATCGTCCCAGTTCCATAATAAATTTATATCCTAAAGAGTCGATCTCCAAACAATTCAAAAATTCACATATTCTTAAAAATAATATAAGTATGGACAACAATTTTATAAAATTTTCAGAAAACAACAATTATAAAGAGAATAAAGAGAAAACGGCAAATTCGTTAATGCAGGAGAGCAAGAAGAATGGTAATGTACATTTGCATTCCGAAAAGTCAATTTCACAACAATCGAAAACTTTACATGTCCCTAAAAGTCGTACGAATAAAAATCTTAAACCTTTTTCAGAAACTAGAAGAAATTTAAATCATAAAACTGATTCCAAACTTTTCTCTCAAAATGACAAGGAAATCAATGAGAATAGTAAAAAAGATAACGAAAAGACTATAATAGCGAAATTGTTGGTGCGGAAGATCAAGGAAAAGAAAGATGACGCGAGAGAAAAGGATGTGACAGAAAAACGGAATCACGAAAAATCATTTCATTCTGATAGATGGGGCATGAGTCACCTTTCATCGCCACCTACAGAATTTTTGAAGGATATACCTCGACGATCGAAGCATCAGAAAAATAAGGAACAGACGGAAACAGACGAAAAGCACTATGTGTTTGGTCGATGGGGTATAAGCGTCGTTTTACCTCTGAAAGATTTCTTCGAGGACATCTTGATGCATCGAGGACACGGAACTAAACACTTTTCTACGAAAATAGGGTCAAGGCTGAATGAAATCGAAGGGTCTTCCAATAATCGACCGCTAATTCATCAAAATCGGAATTCGGAAACGGCTCTAGTTCAAAAATTAATGACTGACAGACGCTATAAGAAACTTGCGGGAACTTCATCTGAAAGGATTCCAAACAATTTTCATTATTCCCAATATTCAAGTCCCAACTATTGGAATAACTATCCAAATGCTGATGTTAATAATAGCTTATTTTTAAGATTTTTACAAGCTTTGCGATCGTATATCTGGCAGGATAATATAGATATACCAATATCCTGTCGTATACGAATTCCATATGCTTTATCTCGTATCTAAAAATAGTCTTTAATATGTATTTATTTCATTTCATTGTTTTAAAATAAAATAATTAAAATTAAATTTAAATAATTACTCTGTTAAACATAACTGTCAAATAATAATCATGTAAAAATACTAAAAGCATGGGTATATTGATTTAATTAAATTACTTACTTGATTATTTTAAGAGAATTGACTAAAGATATCTTTAATATTTAAAATGATATTTTAATAAAGATATCTTTGTTAGATAATAAATGTATTAATTATTTTTCTTTGGTAATAATATTTCTCTCATGTGCAAACGTATATTTTAAATTCATGTTTTATCATGTTTAAAAAATAATTTTTTATATATTTTTTCATACACTAAAAATACATTGTCTATGTAAGTATTTTTAATATATCGACATTTATTTAAAAATTATAATAAAAAATTATAATAAATATACGATATGTTCATTAGTTAATATATATAGTTTTTTCTTATATGTGCACTTAGAAATTAGTTAATTTTTTTTTAGTTATTAAAAATGCACACAAAATGGTAAAATATTTAAGAGCCACTATACTGTAATATAACCATAATATATATAATATCCATATAGGTAATTTTCATCATGAAAGTAAGATAAGCAGTTGGTTTATTACGTAGCGCGTTAACCTATGAGCTTTTGGGATTTGACCCCTAGGGCATCGAAATGTCAGTGGTGCCTGGAGGCGCCACAATTAAAAAAATAAATGTAAACCCAAGGTTAAGCAACACTATTTTATAATAAAGATTGTCCCTGTTCCTAAACGTATCATAGTAATTAAATGGATAAAAGATCAAAGCTTCAGGCTTTCATCAGCATATCTATTTTGTAACTCTTGACGAAAATTTCGTTATCGTTATAATACCGTAACGCAGTTTTTTTATTATGGTGAAAAAGCAGCGCAATGACGTTATAACGATAATGAAACTTGTGTTAAGAATATCAAAATAATTCTGCAACATTATAAGAATAATGTGGTAATGACGTAGCAATATTGTAGTTCATGACGGTAGCAATGAAGAGTTTGGATAATTGTTTTAAAAAAAACCTATTGCACGTATTACACATTTTTGAAAAGTAGTCTTTGCAACGTCGACATCACTGATTTTGTCATGGAAAATTGCGACGTTATCATCTTAAAAAAAGGTCATCAGAAAATCATGAAAGTAGGCGTTTCTGCGGGAAACGCTTAGAGATCACAAGCCTTTGAGCGCAAATTTTGTTAACGTGGCCTTGGAAACTAATAATAATAATTTTGCACACACGCACACACGCACACACACACACACAAACTAAATTCAAAGTATAAAGATAGTATCAAATAACTTGTCCTTGTGATAAGAAAACAGATACAAAATCAGTTTCAAGTTTCAATATTTCACGAAACGTAAAAAGTAATTTAAAAAAAATCATATAATATTGTTAAAAGTGCAAGAGAAGAAAAAGTTAATCAGAAAAAATTATTATACTTCATATTTAATTAAATTTTTCAATACGAGATGATAAAGTAATTCCTAAGCATAATCATAAATTAAGATAATCAGTCTATTAAAAAGCAGTATGTTGACATTTGCAGCATCCTGATATCGTAATACCTAGTTTAGAATTTCGCATCATATAACCATGTAATCCTGGTTTATGTACCCACATTAATCGAACAAATAGACATGTTGTTCGATAATATCTCTTGTTCTTTCTGCGTTTGCGTATGTCTTTTTTCGTCACATTCTTTGTTGCAACATAAAAGTTGTCAAGAAGAAATATGTAGAAAATAAAATGACATTCCATTAGGATAAGCCCCGAAAAGGGAATCATCCATAGGAAAGAAATAGTACTCGGACATAGTAATAAATGCGCAATGTTAAAAACACATGACAAACTGTACATCGTTTTAGATTTTTATCATATACAACCATACTGTTGAATATTTGTATGTAAATAATACTACATAAATAATACTTGTTTTCGTTTTATATTATGTCCAATACTTCTTGTGCATTATTATACTTTTCTCTACATACAAAAGCATCGAATATTTAAATATACAAATATACAATTAATCCATTGCTTTGTTTATTTCTTTTAATATTTGACACTTTTCAATTACTTTTAAACCATGTTAAAAAATATAATTTACTTTTCGATTATTTTATATTATTTTAATCTCATGATATAAATCTCATACATACAAAATTGATAATAAAAATATACAAATTTTAAAGATAAATTTAAGACTTTTTTTATAAAACAAAATTAAACGTATATAATAAACATGTTACAACACATTTTATTATTTAAATAATTGTGTGTATTAAGGAATTTTTTAACATAAAGATTTAGAGTGATGTTATTATTTTTGTTATTTTATCAATAGTCATATTCGCAAAAATGTAAAATAAACGTATTAAAATGCATAAATATATGATATAAAAATCAATCATTAAATATCATCTTCTATCATTATTATTAGAAACTTCGTACTCTGTCATCAGCAGCATTTCTAATTTGCAATCAATTACAACTATTAATGCAATGTATGTAGAAATTCATGTTAAATGATCTCGTCAAATAAATTTGTGAATATTTTAATTTCTGATAAACTATTAATTCCAGCATGTAATAGGTATACGATATTGGAAACTAATTTTATATTTTGGTGACTTGCAGTGATGACATGTAATTATATGTATAATGTACAATCAGTATCAAAAGTCATTATAAAATCGTTCTCCGGTAATAATTTTAATGATTGAAGATTATAACAATACTATCCCACAAATAATTTCAAAATATTTTTAGAGTAAAAAATGGCAAAAATTAAAAAAAAAACAGAAACAATAATTTTCTTGAGTTAAAAGATTATAATTGTTTGATATAAATAAAATAGCGAAAAATCATACTGGGAATAAATTCGCAAACGTTAAATTAATGATTATATTTTACATTGTCTGAAATGTTAGATCGCAATTCATCTTTTATTCAAAAGCACAAATTTGCGGCTTTGAATGAGCAAACGTCACGACAGAGCTTTCACGTGAACTAACAAAAATGATCGGCTGCACGATTGGTAGTTGAGTAGTATTACAAGTTCTGACATATAAAATTATAAACTTTATTTCAGCATATTTCAGCGAAAATCGATTAATTCAAAATGTTTAAATTGTGCAAGTTACATATTAATGCAAGTATGATAATATCATTTCTATTATTCAACCTTTCAAGTGAGCTCAAGTATTCTATAGTCAGTTAAAAATCAATATTGTTATAATTGATTTCATGGCAATATTAATTCATGTGGCTAGTTTCAGTTTTAGTCCACACTCATCTACTTCCTCTACAAAACAATCGAATAATGATAGATTTAAAGATCAATTTAATTACATTAGAGAAATTGTGATATTAATGAAATTGTTGTTTTGATATGTAAATTAATTATTGCTCATGTCGGCTAAAGAGAGAATAATATTTACCAAAATTATAATAAAATAAAGATGTAAATTAATTAATTGTTTATTTCGGCTAAAGAGAAAATAATGTTTGTTGAAATTATTTTTAAAAAACAAGAAAACAAACTATGAATAAGATACAATAAGACAAAATAAAAGGAGTAAAAAAGCAATTGATGATTCTGAGATAGCAGAAAACTTATACAAGTCTTTTCGTAGAAAATTCTTGCTATCATGCGAACGCTCTCCAATTAAAATTACACGAATGTTCTTTTTACATTTCATTTGTAACTAACGGATGTTTACAGATCTTCACTAACCGATGTACCGCAAAAAACCAAGTAACATCAAATCTCGAAAGAAAAATTACCTCATTTTATTTCGAAAAATTGTATTGCTCAGAAAAGAATGTGAAATACATGAAGTATAATTTATTCCATTAAAATATTTGTCAAATGGAAGTATAAATAACGCACAAAAATTGCAATTCTATGACATAAAATGGCAAAAAACGTATCATATACTTAAAATATTCGTTTTACATATTCGTACCGATAAACATTTTAATTCATGCGCTATCAAAATTAAATGAGAAAATTCGCGGCTATTTTCAATGTAAGAAATTATTAAGATTATTCGAAATGGACTTGTTACTATAAAATGAAGAGGAAGAGTGAAAAGGAGTATCGGTGGAAAAACTGAAAAAATCATTGTTTTACGTTACGCCATAGAATAAATAAAATTTCCATTGCTATCAAAGTTCAATCGTAAAGAGGGAGTTGAAGATACATTTTTCCAGAGCAGCTTCTTCCAAAATATATTTTCTATACCAAAACATAGATGATTCCTGTTTTATGTCGCACCTCGCCAATTGAGTCTATACGACATTGAACTAACTCATAAATTTATATCGCAAGTAACAAGAATATTTGCGAAGTAATATTACGTGTCCTAAGTAATGCAAAATATATTTTTTTTATATGTAATATTTCTTACTTGTCATTTAGAAAATTATTAGTTAGTATAATAACACGTATAAAAATTAGTAGATACATTTTTGTGATAATTTTATTTGTTCTTATTAATAATTTAATAATGATTTTTACTATCATTGTTAATAAAATGGATATACTAGATGTAATCTATGTTCCATTTATAAAAGATTGTCAAGCAATATTATATGTCTGAAATAAAATCAGAAGATCTATATGTAGAGATAAAAATTGAATGCTTTTACGAGTATTCTATTTACAGATGGGAAGC